AGTTGACACATCTGTACCGTCTAATTTGGAGACATGTTTTCCGTCTCTCTGTCTCTCTCGCTCCACTTTTTTGACTTCAGATCTGCTCAGAACTAAACAATCCCACCCTGCCTCACATTAAACAATGGCTTTCCAACAATCCGCTTGATCACATTCCGTGTTGGGAAGCAGCCACGTCCATTCATTCGACCGGATCAATGTTTCGCGGAGCCGAGTATGCTGTGTTCATATACGACAAACATGCCGGGATCCGCGTTCGGCGAACTCATCTGCTCGAGCCAAGGAAGCAGTCAAATCATGAGGACAATGCTGTCGCCCGATCGTTACGCCTGTTCTGTCGCAGTCCGTGTCCCGCATTGTGCAAAGTGAGTTTTGTTGTTGTTCAACCAAATCATCTGTAATCCGGTACTAACCGATCAGTTTTTTTTAATATTCACAAACTGCTTTGAAATGGTCACATAGCACAATTGAATATCCTGCTTAGGGGGAAGGGGTACATATACTCGAACAACGAGCACACAGAGCTAAATCACCCTTGTTTTCACGCAAGTCCAGAATGACTTTATCCATCCCCGCATTTGACTCATAGTTACTTGTAAGTAGTTTGTGTGGGATAATTGATATTGATTGATTTAACTGACTATCCTTCACCTTCACGCGCAATCCTCAGTTCATCGATTCAACCATACACTCGGAAGCACTAGATTCGAGTTCCGCTCCTATTAGAGCTTATCAGTGGTGCATATCCACCGTCCCGTCCGGGATTTGAACTCCGGACCCATTACATGGANCGTACGTGGGCGCCGTCGCGACATCCGGCTGTCTGTGAAGGGTCCAGTGTATGCCGCGACAGTTCGGCCCGTTCTGCTATACGGTGCAGAAACTTGGCCCTTAAGAAAACAAGATAAAGACAGACTGTCGGTGTTTGAACACCGCTGTCTACGCAGCATTGCACGAATCTGGTGGGGTAGCCGGATGAGCAATGCTGAGGTCAGGGGCAGAGTTCTGGGTAAATACGGTCGCCCACTGGAGAAAGTGGTCGACCTCCACAGATTACGTTGGCTGGGACATGTGTTACGCATGTCACCAGGTAGGTTACCACGGCGAGCGATGTTCGCCGAAGCAGATACCGTGTGGAAAAAAGCCAAGGGTG